ATTTTATTTTTATTTTTTATGTGTATGAGTGTATTGCTTGTGTGTATGTAAGTATACCCATGTTATGCAATGTCTGAGGCAGTCCAAAGGAAGCATCAGATCCCCTGGGTATGGAGTTATAGATGGTTGTTAGCCACCATGTGGATGCTGGGACTGGAACCTGGTTCATCTGCAACAGCAGCCAGTGCTCTTAACCACTGAGCCATCTCTCCAGCCCCTTATTTTATTTCTTAAATTGTTTTTTGGTTTATTTATTTTTATTTTATGTGTATGAGGGTTATGCCTGCATGTAGGTAAGTGCGCCACTGTCATGCAATGCCCATGGAGGACAGAGGAGGGTATCAGATGCCCTGGAACTGGAGTTACAGAAGGTTGTTAGCCCCATGTGGGTACTGGAATTTGAACCAGTGTCTTCTGCAAGAACAGCCAGTGCTCTTAACCACTGAGTCGTCTCTCCAGTGCAAGTTATTTTATTTCCCCCTCTCTCTCTCTCTCTCTCCCTGGTGTGTGTGAGTATCCTCCTCACCCAGAAAACAATCTTGGATCTGCTGATCCTGGAGTTAGAGGTGCTTGTGAGCTACCAGATTTGAGTGCTGAGAACCAAATGCTAGTACTCTGCAAGAGCAGCAAGTACTCTATACCACTGAACCATCCCTCCAGCCCAGGGGTGGGGGTCTATTGTTTTAATAGTCTAAAACTAAATTGTCTCTTTATAATACATTCACTTCTGCCAGGTCAGTGACAATTTTAGTGTGTCTCCGAATGTTCAATTGATGAGATCTTGTCTTTGAACATGATGGAGTTGTGCTGTAGTCCATAAGAGGTGAGCCTAGTGGGAACTGGCTAAGGTTTAGGGCTATCACTCTCAAACGTAATTGATGATGGTCTGAGGTTTTAAGTCTTTCAAAAGTGGGCTGTTATAAAATGAGGATGAAGTCACCACATGTGTCTAGCTCCTTTGTGGTCCATTTCTTCTTTCCCTGTTGTGTTGTGATCCAACCAAAGGGCCCTGGACAGATTCAAAACACTGTAGTACTCCTGACTTTGAATTTCCTACCTCCAAATTTATAAGCTACACAAATCTTTTTTTTTTTTTATAAAGTACTCAATTTTAGAAATCTTGTTTTAACAAAAGCAGAATAAGACAACATGAGAGTTAACACTGGTTGTTCACTTGACAGGCTCTTGAACTACCTAAGAGACAAGCCTTTGGATGTGTCTGATAGGGATTATCTCCTTAGTTTAATTGAGGTAGGAAGACCCACCCTGATTGTAGGTAGCAACATTTCAAGGGCTGGGGGCTTAGGCTGAATAAAAAGGAGAAAGTGAGCTGAATACCAGCATTCATCTCTTTCTGCTTCCTGACTGTGGATGCAGCCACTCACACTCCTGTCTCCATCACTTCCCTGCCATGATGGATTATATGCTCTTGAAATGTAAGGCAGAAGAAACCCTTTCTTCCTAAATTATTTGCTGTCCAGTAATTGACTACATCATTGAGAAAAGTAACTAATACATGATTAAGTATATGTAACAGTGAATATACAGGATACTATCATTCTGGAAAGAAAAATGGTCCCTGCTAAGAGGACCAGGGATCAGTGATGGTGTCTGCCCAGGCTATCATTCAGAGAGCTCAGGGCTCAAGTTGAATTGGACTTTGGGTTTTAAATCTGTAAGTGAAGGAATATTTTTACAATCTCAGAGGCTTTTACATCCATTCCCTTTTTGATCTATCTTCCCATCATTACTCTTTCTACAAAGTATCAATCCTTAGGTTCTGTGGTATGCTGACAAATTTGGGTAATACAGACAAGGATGCATCAGAGAACAAGGGAAGAAAAACTACTGTCTCTTTTGGCTTCTTTGTAGCACATTTGTGAGTTTTCTGATTGCAAAAGAATGCTCTGCCACAGTTAGTTATAGACTGAATATTTTCATGCTTAAAAGGATAGTTTCAGAAATAAAAAATGCAAATTTATACACGTGGTAACGTATAGATATTTGTACTTTAGAAATATGACACTCAAAGCAGAGGAGGGAACCCCAGCCATGACATCTGAAGACAACAGTATGCATTGAATTCTCTCCCACTGTCACCACTAACAAGGCATAGAGATTTTATTCTTACTTACTCTTAGTTTTTTTGTGACCTTTAAGTGGATGATGTGATTAAAGCAGCCTTGTGCAGAACTCAAAGGATGCAAGTCAGCATTTTACCTGGCATGCAATGAACTGCTTCCCAATGAGTATCAAAGGCCTTCTCCCTTTGCTCATTCATTAACTTGTACAAATCCTTTCTAAAGAGAAAAAATAGTCTAAATAACTACAATCAATTGCTCATGCAAGAGCAGGTACATAGCAGTCTGCTGAATGAATGATTGCACTTAGCGGTATTGGTAGACACAAGAATATCATGAACAAACAAAATTGAGACCTGGGGATGGTGATGATGATGATGATGATGATGATGATGATGATGTGTGTGTGTGTGTTGTACACTTATGCATGTGGGTGTGGAGGCCAGGGATCAGTAAACAGTCTGTATCTGTTGTTCTCCCTCTTAATTTTTGAAACTGTCTCTCACTGAACCCAGAGGTCACTCATTTGACTAGAATAACTACCAAGACTCTCCAGGATCTTTCTGTCTCCAACTCCGGTTCCAAAATTACATGTGAAGCCATCACATCAGCTTTTTATGTGGGTTCTGGGGATCCTAACTCAAGTTCTTATTCTCCCATAGCAACCACTTTACACACAGAGTCATCTCTCCAGCCTAAGATCTGGGGATGTCTTTTCAGAAAAAAATTGTGAGTTGACCTAAGAGTTAACTAGGAGGTTCCCTAAGTATCTCACTCTGACACTTGACCTCCTGGGTGAAAATTCAATCCAGGCAATCATTCAGGACAGGGTGTTCGCCTAAGAAATCCTTCCTAGTTTTCACAGGTGGTACTGGCTTCGGGAAAAGACTCAGGAAGATTGAACTACACTATGCAGAAGTGACTTTTCAATGGCTTTGAAAGGAAACATTGACCTTGAAAGTAATGAGCTTGCCAGAGAGAGCCCTCAGCACTGCTGTGGAGTCAAGTGTTTAGAGCCTTATGGACATATATGGTGGAGATGTAAATGTGACATGGTTTGTTATAGAGCTTATAATATTAATGCCAATGGCTTTCATAATATACCCCATATTAACCTTTCCAAAAGCACTCAAGACTCTCTTCTTACTACTCAACGGGAAGCCAATCTATATGGTTAACATACAGATTTATTTCTATTTTTTAAATTATTTATTTAATAACCATATAATTAGAAGAAGCATTTCATTAAAACAGCATTGACATATTCAATAACAATTTCCAGAGCTAAGATGCATCTCTTTCAAAACTGGCTGTAAATTTTTAGGCTTACAGTTGAATTAATACAGTTATACAATATTGTACTCCATATAAACCCTATAAGTTGTAAAATTAAATGAGGTTTTAAACATTAAAAAAGATCTCCATTTCATTATTAAAATATACAGTTTTATACAGAAAAATTCATTTTTAATACAATTGACAATAAGATGCACATGAGTTTCTAATCTCTATATCTCTGATTATAGATTTCAATGGTAATGTTTTTCACATCTACTAATTATTAAGGAGCAAATTTTTATGCTTTGAGGAATTATTTTATTTTTTAATTTTATTTATTAATTAATTTATTTATTTACACACCTACTTCCCAGGTAGCACCCTCCCATAGCCCCCCTCCCCTCACTAGAGCCCTTATAGTCTGAAATCCCTGCTACTGTATGCTGTGTTGTCAGCACCCCCAGCCATTTCCCACTACTTGCCCTTCTGGTGAATCTAGTCAGCCTATCTAGAGGTCTTTGTTTTAGGAGGGTCAGCTGTTCCTCATCTAGCAGTAATCAGTTGTATTCCTTTGGGTAAGATTGGGGTCTGCTGTTCAATTTCCCAGTTTTATGCTGGGTTACTATCTGGGAATCGCTTTGGCCACCTTGGCCAAGAACTCAAAAGAAAGTATCGCCTGTCTGGCACCACCATGCCCAGTTAGTGAGGTGCTGGGGACTGAATATAGGACTTCACTCATGCTAAGCAAACACTCTACCAACTGAGCTATACCTGTAGCCTAATAACTCTTAGTACTCCCCCAGGTTCAGCCCCTCATCTCTACTTCCTACATGGTGTTAGTGCACTTAATCTCCCTATATTAGAAACGTGGCCACTGTAACTTCAGTGTTGCTGTGTTTGAATGAAAACCACTGAGAATACACGAGAGGCTCAGATGGCCTCAGCCCTCCAGTCCAGTCTTCTGTCCTTCACATTTTCTATCCCTTTCTGTTACACTCATTTCTTTGAAATGAAGATTCTCTATGATTCTTCTGCAATGCCATTTTGCTTAATTTCCAAGCCCAGGAAACCATGTGTTTTTTGCTTACAATCTCAGCCACAGCACTGCACTGCTCTCCTCATCCTCCCCACGTGCATAAAAGCTTCATTTGCTTATGAAACTTTTTCTTGTCTATTTATTTATTTATTTATTTATTTTCATGCCAACTTCCTGCAGGAGCCAGAATCTATCTCCTTAGCACATTCTTCATTGCAACAATATTTTTTTTTGTCTTTGCAAACCTATTCCAGAGCTTGGCACAAGGCTGACTCACCATATGGGTTTACTTAGTGAGTGAGTACAATTATTTTTATGTCCTTAGTTCCCTAGAAAATTTTGACACTTCCTACCCTCCTCTCTTCCTGGAGTCTCAGATGGCCTCCTTTACAGACTGCACTGTGATTTTTAAAACATGGACAGGAAACAATCTTGTGAATCTTTCTGAGTAAAGCTGACATATTTTTTTCCCCTTTAAGATCTTGCAGCTGAATGTGGAATGATCCCCAAGTTAAGGTCAGCGTTGGAGATTATTTATATCAACTGTCAGATTACTGAATAAAAAATGGATTTTACATGTTTGCTTTTTTTTTATTGTTTTCCAGGGCAATGTTACTTTTTCCTGCTTTGAACCACAAATTGTTCCCATCACATTTGTCAACTCCCGGGGCAATTACTTGCTGCTGCCTGGCACCCCCCAAATTGATGGACTCTCAGTGAGTTTCCAGTTTCGAACATGGAACAAGGATGGTCTGCTCCTGTCCACCGAGCTGTCTGAAGGCTCAGGGACCCTGCTGCTGACCCTGGAGGGTGGGACTCTGAGACTTCTCATTAAAAAGGTGGCAGGGCAGGGAATTGAAATCTTCACAGGTACAGTATGTTGGCCTCCTTCGTGACTGCCTCTTCCCTGCCCTCCGCTCCCCTTCCACCTTCCCCTCCTCTTCACGTCCGCATCGCATCCTCTATCCTCTCCCCTCCCCTCCCCTTCCCTCCCTCCTCTTACCTTTCCTTTCCCCTTCTTTCCCTTCCCTCCCCCGCTTCCTCCCCCACTTCCTCCCCCTCCCCCCTCCTCTTCCCTCCTGCTGTCCCTTTCCACCCCTCCTTTTATCTTCCCCTCTTTCTCCCCCCGTTTCCTTCCTCCTCTCCCCTCCCTTCCTTCCTCCCCCTCTCTCCATTCATCTCCCTCCTCTCTTCTCCACTTCCTCTCCACAATTTCTTCCTTCCCTCCCCGTGCCCCTTCCTCTGGCCTTCCCCTCTCCTCTCTTGTTCTCTCCTTGCCTCCCCCCTTCCTGCTCCTCCACAGGGCTTCCCTTCCCTTCTCCTCTTCCTTTGTCCTCCCCTCCTGTCCTCACCCCTCCCCTCCATGCCCTTTCCCTCCCTTTTTTCTCCATTTCACTCTCTCACTTCCTTCCTCTCCTCCCTTCCATCCTTTTTCTCCCTTCCCCTCCCTCCATTTCCCTTCCCTTTTTCTTTTGTTTATAATGGCTTCTTCTTCACTAAGTCTACCAAGGTTGAGTTTTGCCCCTAACGTCCAGCTGGGGATGAAGGCTGGCCCAGGGATAGCAAGTTTGCTGCAAATGAAGGTGCTTACCTTCCTATGCACAGTCATTATCAGAATAGCAACAATGGAGTCAGAACTAACTGTGCATTTGCGTAAGCCTTTCATTTTCTTGAGTCTTAGCAGACTTATGAGGGCAGTGGGGCTGGAAATTGAACCTATGTCCAAATTCCCATCCGGGAGCATTTAGTCCACTACAAACCATCAGTGCAATACTCTGCTTGTTCCTCCATGGAGACCTCTCATGTCCTCTGTCATCCTTACCACGGCCACTCCAGAAAGCTTTACAGATGAGGAAATGAAACGTGATAAAAACATGACTTCAGAATCACACGTTCCAAAGTGATGGAGCATTTGGAATCTGCCAGACTTCCTTGTCTGTTTATTCTTAAACCATAATATTTTGTGATTTTTTTATAATCCCCAATTCTATTTCACCTTAAAATTAGTGACTGTTAATAATAATTTTTCTTAAGTGCATTTTGAAGATATTGAGTATATATTATTACATATTGCCCTAGAATCTGATGAAACTTTAAAAATATTTTTTAAATTTATTTTATTTTTATTTTATTTATAAGAATGTTTTGTCTGCATGAGTTTAAGTGCTTCACATATGTGCAAACCTGCTGAGGCCAGAAGTAGGCTTTGGATCCCATGGAATTGGAGTTATAGGTAGCTGTGAGCCACCAGATTTGGATGCTAGAAATTGAACCTATGTAGCCAGTGCTCATAACCACTGAGCTAGCTCTCCAGCCTCTCTGAGGAAACTTTAAAATAGTCCTGAAATAGCTCAATTCTGAGAAACATGTTCCCTCTATGTGTGTGTGTGTGTGTGTGTGTGTGTGTGTGTGTGTGTGTGGTGTGTGTGTGTGGTGTGTGTATGTGTGCAGGTGCCCACAAGAAGCCAGAAGAGGACATTGGAGGTGGAGTTCAGGTTGTTGTGAGCTGTCTGACATGTACTGGGAACTGAACCCAGGTCCTCTCGATGAGCTGCAAGCCCTTTTAACCACTGAGCTACCTCTCCAGACTCCCAGCTGTGTTTCTTAAACATGGAAGAGTAGAATCTTCTCCCTCCTGATACATTTGCTATCTTAGGAATATCTCCTGCCCACCAAGGAGCACTATGTTTAATCTGATGGAAAATAATGGATGAGGTTGGACCATGTGTATATGGTCCAAATACTGGGACTGAGGGACACAGAATAGTCAACAAACCCAGTTGAGGGATTCAAGTCAAATCTCCATCCATTGTCCTGTGGACCAACATCTACCACAGGTTCCAGCACAATGCATTATTCTTCTATTTATTTCTTATTATTCTCCCATTGGTCCTTGAATTTTATTACTCAAATAGAGTAGAGAACATTAAGTTAGACATTGAAGAATAAGATATAGTGATAATAGTCTGGTCAGACCGCAGGAGAAGTTCAAATGCATCAGGGAACATAAAGGCCCATCTAGCCCTTGAAAAGAGTGAGAGGGTCTGGGTCTGGGAGCCTTCAAGATAGGTTATGAAATATCTTGTTTTGTTCCTTTACCCCTAGAAAATCTTTGTGTGTATGTAGTGGAGGGCACTGGATATATGTGGTCTATGTACACATGTATGTGTGGGGATGCACATATGGAGGCCAGAGAAGGACTTTCGGTGTCCTGCTCTATCATTCTCCAACTTTTTCCCTTGAGACAGTTTCTCACTGAACCTTGAGGGAAGAAGGATTTATTTAGATTCACAGTTTGAGAATGCAGTCTACTGTGGTGTGGAAATCATGGCAGCAAGAGTGTGAGGCAGCTGGTCACATTGCACGTGAAGTCAGGAAGCAGAGAAATGGATGCTGTTGCTTAGCTTGCTTTCTCCTTTTAACTCTGTCTAGGATCGACCCCTGACTATGAAATAATACTAAAGTCAGTTTTTCACCTTAATTAACCCAGTCTAGAAACTCTGTCAGAGACAGGCCCAGAGGTTTGTCTCCTGGGACATTTTAGTTCCTATCAAGTTGACAATCAATAGTATCCATGACAACGACCAAGGCAATAGCCATAGTCTCTCAAAGTGTGTGTGTGTGTGTGCGTGTGTGTGTGTGTGTGCACATGAATGCAGGTGTCCAAGGAGGTCAGGGGTGTTGGATCCCCATCTCCTGGAACTGGAGTCATGGGCAGTTTTGAGCTACCCATTGTGGGTTCTGGGATCTGAATTCTGCAGAGGATTGCTCTTAACTGCTAAGCTATCTTACCCATAGTCTCTTTGTTACCTCATCTTGGGCATGCCTTCCCATCAGTTCTGCCATTTTCCATCCATAAGTCCAGCTTGTGCTTGTGTTTGTGCTTAAGTGGATTAATTAAACAAGGATGTGACTACTAGTATATGTAGATCATTGGAGATCAGCTTAGAGGTTGCCTGTCACATGGAGAGATGGCTCAGTCAGTAAAGAGCTTCCTTTGTCAGCACAAAGACCTGAATTTTTTCCCACTACCCTAACGAAAAGCCAGGCCTGGTGGCACACACTTGAAATTTCAGATCCAGCACTAGAGAGGTGAGAACAGGTGGATCTCTGGAACTTGCTGACCAGCCAGTCTAGTTTAATTAACTGTCTTCCGGCCAGTGAGAGGCCATGTCTCAAGGAGATGAATGGTATGCCTGAGGTTGACATCTTAGGTTGTCCACTGGCTGACATATGTGCCCTCTCATGTGCACATGCCCCCCACTGTGTACCTCCACACATGAAAGTGAACACACAGATATTTACACACAGACATAAAAATTACCCATCAAGACAGTGACATTAATAAATGAGAAAATGTTTCTGAAATATTAGCAGACTGTTGAGATGCCATTTCACAAATGTCCTTTCCTGCCATACTGAGTCAGGGCTTATGGCAAAAAGGGCCTCATTCTATAGGGTCATAAAAGCTGCGAGTGAATTTGGGCACTCAGATGAGTTTTCTAATATTTATTAGATTCCTGGTAATGGAGGCAAGTTAAGCACTTTGAATTATAATAATTTTTGTGTTCAGAGTTATAAAAGTTAAACTACGATCCTCCTTATTTGGAGAAGAAAAATGTGAGCTGGCACTGAGCTCTTTCTCACTAATCAGTAAGATGTTTGAGTACAGAAATTTGTAGGCCTGGGGTCAAAAATGCAGTTTTAATATTGTACAGGCCCTGGCAGCACTTGGCTCTAAAGAATCCAGGAGCTGCCTCTATTATTAAGCACATGTCAGTCCATTAACACTCATGTACGACTGAGAGAAAGGCTGGTAATAGCTGCCAGGTTACCCAGCAATGAAGGAGAAAAAGAACTATCAGTTATTTTAGACCTGTGTCTCAAATGCTAGACGAAGTAAAGGGAATTTTTTAAAGTGTGCACCCGAATTAGCAACTTCTGTGTAATTCTCTCCCCAAGAGGACTTTCCTACATTTTGGAAATTTAGAATCTCTTAATTAGTCTTTCCAATGGGTCAAGATTTTGTATGCTCTGGCATAGAAGGGGTGAGATGACAAATAAATAAGTAAATAAATAAATCCAAACACAAATGTTTTTTCCTCCTCTTAACTTTCTAAATAAACTTATTTTGAGAGTACTTGAGATCTTGTTGAATTTATGAAAGATGAAAAGCATACAAAACAATGAGAAGTAATGGCAGTTGTCCCAGAAACCTTTTTGTGTATGAATGTTGGAGTGTGCGTATAAATGTGTGCATGGTGTATGTGTGGGTGGCATACTGCCTGTGTGGGTGGTTGCATATGCTTATGCACAACACAGAGGCCATAGAAGGATGTCTCTCTATCACTCTTCACTTTATTCCTTTGAGACAGGATCTCTCATTGAACCTGGAGCTAGGCTGACTGGCTAGCAATCCCCAAAGATTCTACTCCTGTCTCTATCTTTCACAGACCTAGACTTCTGAATTTAATTGTTCTGGGTGATAGAATTTGATAAAGATGAAGGACAATAGTTAAATTTCCACCTTGTATTTTTCTTTTCCTTCTAATTTTTCTGTCTGCTCTCTGGATGCATGTGAATATAAGGAGCAATGAAGGATCCCATTTCAATTAAGAGACTGAGGTCCAAACCAGTGATTTGTATGGGCCCTACGGCTCAGATTGTGGTAGACTTTACCACAGGATATCATAGATAAACAAATCTTATGAAACTTCCTGACAGCATCATTTTAATGTCTATGCTATGATAAAATCCCTGACAAAAGAAACAATGGAGAAAGGACTTATTTTGGCTCATAGTTCCAGAGTACAGTTCATCATGTCTGGGAATCTGGGCAGACAGAGTTTGAGGGAGATGGTCACATTGCA